AAAACAATGAATTGAAGATTCATTGAAAGATCTTTGAAAAATTAAATACAATCGATTAACCTTTTATCCAACCTGAACAGCAACAACAAAAAACTCAAATGCATACAATTAGGAATGAAAAGGGTGAAATCATAATGGATCCTGCAGAAATCTAGAAGATAACCTATACCAACTTTAAAAACTTATATTCAGTAAGATGAAAAATGCAAAAGAAATGAGCAGATTCCTAGATATGAGTTACCAAAGCCGAGTCAAGAAGATATAAAAATTCTAAATCAGTATCTATCAATGAAACTGAAGATGTAACTAAAAACCTCCCCCAAAAAACAGAAAGGCCCAGGCCCTGACAGATTCATTACTAAAATCTGCAAGAAACTTAGAGAAGACTTAACACCACTACTTCTCAAACTCTTTAATAGAATTGAAAGGGAAGCAATACTCCTGAACTCATTTCTGGAAGCAAGCATTAACCTGATACCAAAACCAGAGAAGAACCCAACCAAGAAAGAGAATTACAGGCCAAACTCCCTAATGAACATAGATGCAAACATCCTCAATAAAATACGGTTAAACATAGAATGAAGCAAATCATCAAGAAGATTATATAATAGACCATATTAGCAGAACCAAGGACAGAAATCACACAGTCTTCTCAATAGATGCAAAAAACCTTTTTTATAAAGTCCAACACTCATTCATAATAAAAACCCTACAGAAAATTGGAATAGATGGTCTATCTCAATCTGATAAAAGCCATCTATGACAGACCAAGAGCCAACATCATGCTAAGTGGACAAAAACTGAAAGCCTTCTCTAAAATCAAGAATAAGATAAGGATGTCCACTGTCTCCATTCCTATTCAGCATAGTCCCAGAATGTTAGCCAGAGCAATTAGACAGGAGAAAGAAAGAAAGGGAATAATGTTAGAAAAGGAAGAAGTTAAATTATTATTTGCAGATAACATGATACTCTACATAGAAGAATCCAGAAACTCCCCAAGACGACTTCTAGATTTAATAAGCAAATTTAGTAGCACAGTTGAATATAAAGCCAGCACTTAAAAATCAATAGTGTATTCATAAATAACAAATTCACTGAGAGAGAAATTAGGGATAGAACACATTTTACAATAGCATCCAAGAAAATGAAACTCCTAGGACTTAAACTGATAATGGAAGTAAAAGACCTCTACATTGGAAACTCAGTACTCTGAAGAGGATATAAGAAAATGGAAAGCTATTCCTTACTCTTGGGTAGAAGAACTAATATAGTGGAAATGGTCATACTTCCAAAGCTGTTATACAGATTTAATGCAATTATAATAAATTTCAATAGCATATTTCACAGAATGAGAGAAAAGAATCCTAAAATTGCCCCAGAGACCTAGAACAGCAAAGGTAATTCTGGGCAACAAATGCAAGGCAGGGGACATTACAATCCCTGAGTTGAAATTATACTATAAAGTATAAAACTGAAATTAAACTATGATAAAAACAGCATGGTATTGGCAAAAAAACAAACCCAAAAATTAGCGAAATAGATTACAAGATGCAGAAACAACTCTAGACATATTCAGCCACTTTAATTTTCACAAAGGTGTCAAACATATTCAGTGGAAGAAAGATAGCTGCTTTAATAATGGTGCTGGAAAAACTAGCTCTGCATATGCTGATGAACTCTTATCTTTTACCATGCACTAAACTAAATTTGAAATGGATCGAAGATCTAAATATTGGAAGATAGAATAGGTAAACTCTTGAAGACATTCATATAGGCAAAGATCTTATGAATAAAACCCTAATTACATAATATTAGAATCAATAGCTGGATTCTTTGTTTTTGTTTTTATTTTTTCTTTACTTATTTTTTTATTGTTTTATTTTTTCTTTTTTGTGGTACCAGGGATTGAACTCAGGACCCTGCACTTGCCAGGCAAGCACTTATTCTACTGAGATATCTCCCTGGCCCCTCTTTGTTTTATTAAAAACGTTCTGCACAGCAGGAGAAACCACCAACAGAGTGAAGAGGCAACCCATATTATGGGAAAACATGTTTTTCAGCTGTTCCTCAAACAAAGGATTACTATTAAGACTATATAAAGAACTCAAAATAATAGACCTCCCAAATTTAAAGACCCAGTCCAAAAATGGGCATCTGAGATAAATACATACTTCTCAGATGAAGAAATACAAGCAGCAAATAAATATATGAAAGATGTTCAACAGCACTGATCTTTCTAGAGATGCAAATTAAAACACCACTGAGATTCCTTCTCATCCCAGAAAGAAGGGCTGTTATCAAGAAATCAACCACAAATGCTGGAGGCAGTATGGGAAAAAGCAACCATTTCCATTGTTGGTAGGAGTATAGACTGGTCCAACATGGAAATCAATGTGGAGATTCCTCAAAAAATGAGGGCTGGAGGCCCCATTCCACCCAGCTGTTCCTCTTCTGGGTATCTTCCCAGAAGAATTAAAAACATACCAGTGATGTGTGTGCACCTCTGTTTATAGCAGCACAGAAGATCTTCAAAACAACCCAACTGCCCATCAGTGAAGGAATGGATAAAAAGATGTGGTCTTTTTATACAGTGGAATACTACTCAGCCATAAAGAAAAATAAACTGGAGACTTTTATAGATAAATAGATGCTACTCCAGACCATATTTATAGCTAAAACATACCAGATGCACATGTATAAACATCGTATTGTTTCCCTAGTTTTAGAAACTGAAAGAGTAAATAAGATCCAAAATTAACATTTGATATTGTAATATAGGAAAAACAAAAGGAAAGAAATTGGGATGGAGGAATGGAAAAGAAAAAAATATATGATAGTTAAAAAAGTTATACTACTAATGTCTCTTAGTTCATTGAAAAGCAAGTTTAGTGCTAATATCGTTTGGACAACTAAATTCCAATATCTTGCACTCTGAGTAACTTAATTTAAAAATACTAGTACTCAATGTATTAACTATTGTTACTCTATTACATTGTTTTAATTTTATTTATTTGTTTATTTATTTATTGTGTGTGTGTGTGTGTGTGTGTGTGTGGTCAGCTCAGCCCACCAGGGGGCGGGGCTGGCTGGCATGTGGTGCTGGGGGATTGAACCTCGATCCATGTGCTTTGCTTAGCTTAGCTTGTTCTAAGTAGGTTTTTTTTTTTTTTTTTTTTTTTGCGGAACCGGGGATTGAACTCAGGCCCTTGTGCTTGCCAGGGAAGCACTTATTCCACTGAGCCATCTCCCCGGCCCTATTACATTGTTTTGAAATTTGAATTTTTTCTCTTTAAAGCAAAAAAAAAAAAAAAAAAAAAAAAAATCATTCATTTAGCATCTGTCTCTGAGCAACTCCCCAGAGCTAGACACTGGGCACAGAGATAAATGAGACAGTTCCTGTCTTCAAATGGCTCTGTCTAGTTAGGAGTAGAGATAGGTAAAATAGAATACTGTAGCCTAGACATGCACAGGAGGGAGCAGACTTTGCCCAGAAGAGTAGGGGCTGACTTCTCATTTGAGCTGGATTGCAAAGGATGACAGGTCACTGGAAGAAGGGATTAGAAAATCTCCCAAGCAGCAAAGGAGCTCCCGAAAGCACTGCTGTGGAGAAAGGGCTGGTAGTATGGCAGAGTTGGCAATATCTGCACTGATGTCTGGGCACTGGGCTGGAGATTCCTGGATGTCCAGGGTAATGTGTCCCTTCCTTCAGCGGTAATAGCCCTGCTGTGCTTGAGTGGCTACCTGATCTGGAGAAACTGGAAGCGGAAGAACACTAAGAGCATGAATTTTGACAACCCAGTCTACAGGAAAACAACAGAAGAAGAAGATGAAGATGAGCTCCATATAGGGAGGACTGCTCAGATTGGCCATGTCTACCCAGCAGTAAGTATCCCTTCTGGGAGAATATCTTCCTTTCCATCCTCCCTCCCTTCCTTCCACCCTTCCTTTCTCATTCCTTCAACATTTATTAAAAATCTACCATCTACCAGGCACTGTCTAGACCAGTGATGGTGAACCTTTTACAACTTCCAATGATATAAATAGTCCACTGTAGCCTGCATGCCATAGGTTCCTCCCATTGCTCTAGATCTGGGAAAAAAAGACATCCTGAGAGGTAGGTGGTTGGGGTAACAGGGCATCAGGAACACCTTGTACCTAGGCTTCTCCTGGCAGTAAGGAAACCAGATGCCTTTGTTTCTGCTGAATAATTTTCAAAACTTTGGCCATTTAATTTGAATGCAGTCATTTCAACAAACACTGCATGTCAGTTATATGCCGAGCACTATAGACATCAAGGGTTCAAATGTAAGTAAACAATGACTTGTTCCCAAGTTGCTGATGGGGGAGTTAGAGATACTCATATATAGTTTTACAACTGTGTGCTAAGTGCCATAATGGAAGCTCTGGAGTCCCTTCCACGAAGCTTTTCCCAGCTTGCTTTGTCCTCCCACAGTCCCCTGGCCTATTCTCCTTCCCAGCACTGTCACACTCCAGTCCATTTGTTTTACCTCATGGTTGCCCCACTAGAACACGAGATCCTTGAGAGCAGGATCTCATCTGATTAGTCTGTCTTCCTGGCACCCTGCACAGCTTAGCTGCCTTCCAACCAGTATTTGTTGAATAGATGATATGGAAATCTCTAGGGAGTTATTAAGTCTCCCTGGAGAAATGACAAGGAGTGCCTTACAGAGAAGTAACAGATGAACTGTCTGTGAAAGATTAACAGACAGAGGAGGAGGGGAGTGGTATTACAGATAGAAGCATGTCCAGAGACCTAGTAAAAGAGCATGGGGAACAGGGACAATGAAGTGACTAGAGCAGGTGTCATTGTTGTATAGTAGAGTCAGGGGGCTGAGTGTGACCTCAGAGGTCATCCGGTCCATCCCCCTGTCAGGCAATCAGAAGCTTTGATCGCCCACTGTGGGCAGAGCCTTGTCTTGGGGAGACCAGAGAACTGGAAGACTCAGCCCCTGCCCTCAAGGAGCTTTTTGTCTTGCCGGGGGAACCAAGGTCACAGCTGCACCAACTCCCGAAGAACCCTCTTTCCGAGCTGCCTGTCGTCAAGTGCAAGGTAGGGTAGTGCCACTCTGACCTTGAGGGGCTGGTGAGTGAGGGCCTGAACCAAGGCAAGTGCAGCCAATCCTAGAAGGCTTTCTGGTTCTGGAAGGCTGTAAAATGTAAAGTGAGTGTTGGGACAAGAGGAGACATGGGTTTGCCACAGAGGAAGGAAACGGGCCTGCAGAAGAAGGTGACTGAGTACAGGGCAGACAATACTGCTGCTGAAGCTAGCTGTTTACAAAAGGGAAACATGCAAGATAGAGTTGAGCAAATGAGGAGGATCTTTGACCTCAGCCAGCCCAAGAAATCAGCTGTTTGACCAATTTTTAAAGATTAGAAAAAGCACAGTACAAGAAGCACTGAGCTTGGAGTAAAAGGGTGGTTCCCTGTCCATCATTCTGTAGCCTATCACCATAGTCAGTTATGTCTCTAATTTTATATGTAAAATGAGAATAGTAATCCCATCTATCTGCATTGTAAATTTGGGAAGTTCAAGTGAGGCAGCATGCGTGAAAGCATAAATTACAAAGCACTTTATCCTTGTAAAGTGGCCTTGTTTTCAAGGACTCAGAAGTTACCTGTGATGAGTCTAGGGCCCAAGTAATAAGCTCCTGCTAGTGTCATAAAAGTAGAGATTACAATGAGAAAATTAATATTGTGGGAGCACCCACTATGTGTCAGAACTGTTCTCAGTGCTTTACACACACTTTCTCATTTAATCTTTGCAGTCAGAGTTCATATTATCAGCCCCATTTTACAGATGAGAAAACTGAGACATAGAAATTAACTCTTGGAATACCATAGCTAGGAAGTGACAGATCTAGAGTTAAAACTCCACATGGTTGGCCAGGCTCTTCCCACTCTCATGGGGTAAATAGCCTTCGAAAGCTCTGAAACTCAGGATTCTGAACCATGTGACTCCTGTTTCTCTCAGACAGCTCTGCCATCACTACTGAGGCCTGTCTTTGGCCTGTTTTTTGTCTTGGAGACCATCTAAAAGATGGTCTTAAAGGTCTTCATTAATGGAGCACAGCCATGACACGCATGGAAAAACCACAAATAACCCAAAGAGGACTTGAAGGGGAGTGGAGTTTCTTTTAATCATATATAGGAAGATGCTATGTTTTGCTGGCTAGGCTGATGTAGAATATTTCAAACCCCATGTATGTTAGGTATTATGTGAAATACTCCATATGCATTGTTTCATTTGGCTGTCTATCAACTGTAGGAGATAGGTCATTGTTCCCATTTGACAGACAAAATTAAGAGAACTTAGTTGGCTCACCCAGTTCACATAGCTATGAGAAAGATAATGCAACTCAGAGTCCAGGAAATGGAAGAGCAGCAAACAAGATTATGTCAGGACCAGCTGGGGAAAGCTACAGGTATAATCTGGAGGAGAAAAAAAATAAACAGAACAAAAGGAAGGGAATTCAAGCACTACAGACTTCAAGGGTTATCTTGTGCTTAAAACATATCAGGGACTATCACAAGATCTAAAGAAACAGCTTTCACATTAGGCTAGAATTTAAACCTACTGTCCACATGGTGTAGGCTGACTCAAGCAGGGGTTAGTGGACTTACCATTTAAGGGTCAACCATATGTAGCAGAAGAAAGTCTAGGTTTCAGTGACAGGAAGACAGGGATGAGGGAGAAAGGGACTGAATTAATACCTCCTATTGCTGTTTGAAGGGCGCCTGCATGTTACTACCTCATTGTGAGTAGCATCCTGGGATAAATTGCTCATAGCCTAGGAGTTAACATTTAGTAAAACTAACCAACTGAAGTTGGCCCAACCTGAGATTCTATAAGGGAGAAAAGTTTAGATCTTTCCTGCCCTCTTTTACACAAAGAATGATGAAAGAAGCATAGCTCTGGGATCATCAATGACTATGTTTTCTCATCTGTAAAATAAGTATAAGTCTTGACTCTTGACATAGTTTGAAGATTATATGAGCCAATATCTGTAAAATAATAGTATGTCTAATACTTCAATAATAAGAAATAATAGCTCTTATGGATCTAATGATGGCTTCTTTGGTCTATCTCCCCAGCGAGTGGCATTAAGCCTGGAAGACGATGGCCTGCCCTGAAGATGGGACCAACCCCTTCGTGCCTCCTGGAGTTCAGTCCCATGCACTACTCTCTGGATGATGTGTGACTGGATGGATGGGTTTCTGAATAGGGGTCTGTGTGAGTGAGTATGTATGTGTGTGTAACTTTTTAAAAATTTATGTTGCGGAAAGGTAACCACAAAGTTATGATGAACTGCAAACATCCAAAGGATGTGAGAGTTTTTATATGTATAATGTTTTATACACTTTTTAACAGTTGCACTACCCATGAGGAATTCATGGAATGGCTACTGCTGAGTGACTAACACAATGTACATAACCAAACGGGGGCCAATGGTACAGTACCTTACTCATCCTTTAAATACTATATTTACAGAGGATGTTTGATCTGGGGGAACATTTTTAGGTTTGGGGGTTTCATTTCTGTAAATAAAATGATTATGCTTTGTGGCTATCCATCAACATAAGTTAAAACATTTCAACTTCCATTTAGATTATTTATTAACATATTTCAAAAATAAGATTAGTTCTATAAATAATTTAGAGAAGTGAAAGTATTTATTTTTGGTGTGTTTGGCCCATCACACAGACTTTGTGTGTGTGTGTGCGTGTGTGTGCGTATGCATATGTGTTTGTGTGAGAGAGAAAAATCTGTAGAGAAGAGGCACATCTACAGCTGTTGTTCAAATACATAAATTTATTTAAAAACTATCCACAAGAAGGGTGTCTAGAGTTTTTGGAGAAACCTTCAGAAGTGACTCCAAAAACTGAAACCATGGTTTGTGCAAACGTGTAGTAGAAGAAGCAGATCCTTTCACCTGTGGCTGCTGTGACTCCTACCTGGGCATTCTTGTCTGTGGCTAAGGTCAAGGTACAGATGCCATATTACACAGTGCCAGAGTTCTACTAAGCTCAAGACATACAACACATGTGTTTGTCAGAACAAGCAAGTCCTTGTTTTAATGTTCAGCTCTTTGAGCAACTTTAATTTCTGTCAGGACACTGGATTGAATCATATAAACTTCCTCTGAAGTACCCTGAAGGATGCATTCTTAGAGAGCTAAGTGGAGACATATTTAGAATAGCCCAAGTTTGTTGTACGGGCTGGCTCAGGCATCAAATCTCTGAGACATGCTGTAGATGAGAATAAAGATGGTGGAGTAGGTTTTATCACATCTCCATTTCTCTCTTCCCCTCATTCTCTTAATATTTGGGGAAGGATTTTAAAGTTAAATGTTTCTTATCATATGTTCACAGAAAAAGTAAATTTTGGCTTAAGTCAGAAAAAGTGGCCAAACCTGAAGTCACAGTTGAGGGGAAATGGCATATGCAATATTATAGCATATATTCACACAGGGATTTGGTTTTTTGCTTTGTAAAAATAAAAGGAAAAACTGGGTATATGTACAGATTTCTTTTCATGATTGATACCTTCTTTGTTTTTCCTTGGCCTTGGGTGAGGTGAGAAGTGCTATTTTCTATCTGTGGGGTCTCCCATTAGATACATAGCCTACAGTCCTGAAAGAATCCAGTCAGCATTGGCTTCCCTCATCCAAAGAGTGCTCTTTAACTCGGCTGTTCTCCCACTTCATTTCACTAGACAATCTGGCACCCATACCACATGGAAATGTTTGGCTTAAGTAGGAGCAGACAACCTGTATCTAACCTTAATATAACTGGAACTTGACATCCTTAAGCCATGTCTCCCTACTCCTGTCCTCCAGCACCCCCAACTCTGAAGCTTGGATGTTTCACCAGCATGTTGAATTTCTGGGCAATCTGGAGTTCTATCAGCCTGTTCCTAGGACCTTGCTCTATATCACTCTTGGTCTCCTAAACTCTAAGAAAACAACAATGTTCTGGAGCTTCCAAGGCACTATGTCTTATAACTTCCTCATAATAGACATGTGTTGATGGTCCCAAGACATTCATGGAGAAAGTAAATACAGTTGACCTACACCCATATTAAACAAAATTTTAAAAACAAGTGGCCAACTCCTGTGGAGCTTAACCATTACTATTCTTTCAAGAGTGGAAAGTAAAATTATTTTTTATAAGAAAAGTGATGAAAATGAAAGACACTGAAATTTACATAAGACAAGTGACTTTTCCTGTAATATGCCTCTAAAGAAACTGAATTTCTAAGGGAAATTAAGTGATAATGTGGCTAATGCATAGTTTTGAAATTTTTAGTCAGATCCTGCCCTTCAGAGAAAAAAAAAGATCATAAATAAGGTCAGGACTTAGAGCCTGAGACCTCAAAATGATGAAATTCACAGTTGAGACATTCTTACCTCCTGAATATGCTACCACTGCAGTTTGAAAGAGGTAGCTCTGGGAGGAACCTACAAGAAACAAATGGAAAAATACATGTTGGATGGTAGCAAATTAGATTAAATTGGAGGAGTCCAACCCACCTTCCTCCTATTCTTGGAAGTTTTTTGAGCCTTGTTGGAGATATAGTTTCATTTCCCTCTCCCATGCATATATGTATTTATAGCCAAAAACAAATAGCAGTTATTGGATTAGAGAGCTGGAAGAAAGCTAAGAGATAATGCCAACAGGACCATAGACAGTATTTCCTTTATTTATAAAAAAAAGAAGTTGGCTTAGTCCTTTTCCTCCCTTTCGTTCAGGAGACAACTTTGGGCTCACTGAATATTGTTTCAAACCTGCTTCCTATCCTGTCTTTCTGGTGGATTTGTCCACTGGTAGAAAAGGCCTTCCAAATATAGGGAAAACTAAAACTTTA